CATTGGGGAATTGGGGGATGGGAACAGCGCTGCGGAACCAGGGACGGGAAACAGACAAGCTGCTGTCCCTTTGTTCTTCAGTCTAGTTGTGGAGGACATTGCCTCACTGCCCCAAGTTGGCACCATCATTGCGCTCTTCCCGGGCGAGGCAAATCAGTCGCCGGCCTCTGGATGGCCGCTCTCTGCAGCTGCTGGCCACACATGGCAGCCCATGGCAACCCACTGCAGCAGGGGTTGCAGCCCATGCCATCCCCAGTGACTCTCAGCAGCCCATCTCCAAGTCGAGCTGCCGTTCAGCATCTTAGCTGTAGAAGGCAGTGTCACTGGTCCTCATATGTGGGATCCAAATCGGGGCCCTCTGATGTCCGAAGCCAGTTCTTAACCAACGCACTACTCGGCTGGCCCTGATCTTTGTTCTTTATATAAATAAATGACCTTTGAAAAACATAGACAAAAGTACATCATGACTTTTCCAACAACCCAATATTAAATAGTATAATTCATGAGTTAATTTTAGGTTTGGAAATATTGAGAGCTTTCTTTAGCCCAATTCCTGTTCCCCATCTTTCTGTTTTAATGAAATTCTCAGTTTTCCCCAGGTCTTAAAATTTAAGATAGTCATAAGGACATATTGTATAGCCCTTATTTTTGGTCTTCCACGTTAGATTCCAGTTGAGTTGATGTTGGAAAGCCCTAGTAAGAACCACCATCTGTTTTGCTGATCCTTTTCCTAGTCAGGCTTTCAGTCATTGAGAGATAGCAAGGCCTTCCTGACTTCCTGGTGGGCTTGTGGCCTCAGTAGCATTATCACTGGCACTCCACAGGTGAGGGGAGGGAACTTCTCATGGTTTGGGGATGTGAATTGCCTGAAGCCCAAAGATGCTATTGTTCGTGCTTCGCTGGATCTGTTCATCATTCTGATTTCCCATCTTAATTTGTGTCCAAATAAGATGGGTAGTTTTCTTTTTTCTCATAAATAGTTTGGATCCTTTTGAATTTCTTATTTGTTCAGAGCATGGAAAGAGAAGGTATCTAATTTTGTTTCCCTGAGAATCTGAGCTAATTCTCAGACTTCTGGCATTCCCTCTTTAATTCTGATTTCCTGATCTTTTTAACTATTTTCTTCCCCCCATGTCTTTGGGTGATGTTCCTGACTGTATTCAGTATATGGATGATTTTTCTTTATAAGACTGGTAATCTGTCTTGTGTATGTATACATAGTACAAAAATAAATGTTTTGTGTTTGTGAATGTATGCAAGGTTAGGTATTTGACCACCTGCAAGAATTCAGCTTAACAAGGTTACAACTAATTTGTTTATGGAATTAATGATGGTAATTAATATGTTCTTAAGAAAATCTGATATTCAGAGTGTTATTAGATAACTGGAAAATTCTGGATAAGTTAAAAGTATTTTGCTTTTGAATAGGTATGGCTCTAAATTCTAATAACTGGTTCTAATAATAATAATAAGTTAAAAATGATAAATTCTACTAATAGGCAAGGGCAAGTTATCTATAAAATGAAGGTTGAACAGTATTGCTTCTAAGTTACACAATTGCCTATTAGCACCACCCAATTCTTCTACTCCAAATTAGGTTAAGCTGATAATCAGTGCAGTTGAAACTAGTGTGCACTAAGCCCAATTTTTCACCAAGTAGGAAAAGTTGCCTTGGACTGATAGCCTTGGTGTGAGAGGCAGGCAGAGTCGTCTTTGTTTGGGTGTCCCTGGTTTACTGTAGTCGGCTAAGCTGTCAGCTTTGTAGAGACAGGGCCTTCCCTGTCTTGCTGCCTGTTTTATCCCTAGTCCCAGGTTGAATGCCCAGCACATGGATAAATGCTTATTAATCAAATGCTTGTTGAATGAATGACTGACAACCTAGGGCATTTACACACATTACCTAATGCAGTCTTCACAGCCAACACTATAATGCCAACCTTGTAATATAAAATATAAGCCAACCTTATAATGTAAAAAACAGTTTGCAGATGAGTGAACTGACATAGATAAATGCTTAGCAGCCAGAGGTAGGAGTTGCCTTTAAACAAAGCTATTTAAATTTTTACCATTTTAACCAATTTGAAGTGGATAGTTCTGTGGCATTAAGTATATTCACAACATTGTGCAGCCATCACCACCATCCATCTTAGCCTGTGCCTTTCCCCAGCTGTTGTACTGCCTCCCTTTGTTCTTCAGGCTGCTTTTAACCATCTGAAATCAGATTAAAAACTTTTTTGAGTGAAAACACTGAAGGAACCTGAAAGTTTAAACTTTTAAGCTGGGCTGAATAGTGAGCCAGTGTTTTTTTCCCTTCTCCTCAGCCAGCTCTGTTTCATGTAGAATTTCTTGCTGGCTAATAATAGCTGAGTATGTTGTTTTGAACCGGAATGCGAGCTATCATGTCTACTTATTCTCACACTAAGTTGGAGCTGTTTGATCTATTCCTGCTGTTTCCTGACCCAGTAAGGCAGTGATCTAAATGGTCTGAGCACAGAGGAGCTGTGTGCCCCCACTTTGAGCTGTGTACCTGCCTGATGGGTTAGAGCACCACTGGGCTAACGTCTACTCTAGGTCTTGTATTTGGGGAATGAATTTGCTTTGTCATCCTCCTCTTCTGCTTCCGGCCAGGAGTCCAGTTCACTACTTTCAGTTTCACTTTGGGCTTTCTTTGGCTGAATTACCTGTATAATTATTGGTACAAATACACAGTTTTGTTGGCTTGGCTGTGGGATGAGATGGGATGTGTGAAAAACTTGAGGAAGGGAATGGATCTGCCTAAGTAGGGTAGCTGGACCTTTCCACTTGTTTCTACTGCAGTGGTCTCAAAGTCCTGTCTGATACCAGGCAGAGCCAAGTGGTGAAATATGACACAGGCCAGGGATGAGAATTGGCAATTGTCCTGGGTGCACAAATAGTTTCTTCCCTCCCAAGCACATTTTACAGCCAAGTGAACAGAAAACAATTCAGCAGGCTACTTGCTGGGGACCTGCAGCAGAAAAATGATCTTCATAAAAAGTTGGACACGTTGCTTTTATAAGAAGTTTTCAGAACAAAATGCAAAGTAGGCGTATTTTTCTGTCCCTCGTTTTATCCCTGATCCCTAAGTATAAGGCTGATTTTAGATGTACTCCTAAGCCTGTTTGTGGGAGGGAGGGGCTGGGCTTCCCCAAGTCTGACCAGTCACGTATTCTTCACTGTAGATCACAGTCAGCCAGAAAAGGAAGTTGCTGTTAAGACTGAAGGCCAAGCCTTCCTATTGAATGGTCAAGCAAATGGACACAGCTTGGCCTCTAGCCCAGCTCTACTCCATGTAAATTTTATCTAGCACACATGGGGCAGGCAGGCAGCTGCTGGTGGTGTAATTCCAGTCATTACTGACTAATATAACAGGCCACCATTGCGTGAGGCTTGACCTGAGGTAGCTGCTCTAAATATAGCCAGGCTTTCTGGCAGCTGCACACACCTGGAGGAGCAGGCATGCCCCCAGCAGAAAAGGTATTTGCTGTTAACAGCATGTCTGTTGAACAGTTGTGTACTGTCAGAGCTCATTTCATGCTATGTTTGTGCCTAATTAAAAACAACCCGCTGGGTCCATTGGCTTATGGTTGGGTTATGTTTAGAAAAATGCACTTTATGTTGTCTGTTGTGGGGATTGGGATGATGTCACTAGTTTGAGTAAGACCATACGAGAAGCAGTTAATGTAATTACCAACAATTTCTTTGATCTCTAACTAACACAGCTTATTTAAACCCCTCAGTGGCCTTTGGTTTCTGGCACTGATGAAACAAGCTGTCAATCATGTGATTCTGTTCAATTAGGGGCTCTGGCTTGTGTGCTTGGTAGTTCCTTCTGACATAAGGAGGTTGATAAGTAATTAAAAAGAACACCAACATTTACAAAACGGTGCTTGCAAAAAAGAAACTACAAATGGGCCATAAACATGTAAAAGATACCCTGTTTCGTAAAAGGAGAAAACCATTCTAAGACCTCATTGAGATCTTATTTTTTACCTATCAGATTGACAAAAATCGGAAACATTAGAGAAACACTGTTAATGAGCAAGTGGGGAAATAGACTGTCTCATACATTCTTGGTGGAAGCATTCATTAAGTATACAACTTTTATTGAGGAAGTCTAGATACATCTATTAAAACCGCAAGTATATACCCTGTGACCCGGCAGTGTTATTTGAATTTATCCTATGGATGCATTCCAATGTGTGCATAAGCTTGTTTATGGAAGAATTAAAGCTTGGAAACAAACTCACAAGTGGATTGGTTATATAAATCATGATGTATATATAATGGATACAGCTGTAAAAAACAATGAGGATGCTGATTATGTGCTAACATAGAAATATCTTCATGGTGTAGTGTTGAGGGGATAAAGCAAAGGGCAGTGTATAATATGGTACCAACTGTGTAAAAAGGGCAAAATAAGAATATGATTTGCTTGTATGTGCATAAGGAAGTTCTGGAAGGATATTTAAGAAGGTCATATGAGTAATTGTGTGGGTGTGTGGGGGGTGTTTGTGTGTAGGAAAGGAGAAAAGATGGGTATTTTTCACTGTATGAAACTTATTGAACCATGTGCATGTATTGCTATAAAAAATTTAAATAATTAGAATTTTTAAAAATGGAACTTCTTTGAATTTCAGTCATAGTTGCAGAGGAGCTTTTAATTGTCTTCCTTACCCAAACTTCATATCCTTGTGGGTAAGAGGGAAATGTCCTCATATTGCAGCTGATGGCGATAATGTCATTACTTCCTGTGTGGGTACCTTGGGAAGAAAGTGGTGCACAAGTTTGTGGGTCCTGGTGTTTTTCCTGTTGCTCCTAAGCCAGATCAGTGGCTCTGAAGATTTACATAGCAGGAGCCTTAGATTCTATAACAAACCCTAAGAAACTGGCTTTTTCCTTTTGTTTGACAGTGAAGATGATATGCTTGGACAGGATGATGGACAGGACTGAAGTCTTTCACCTTTTCTCTTTATTTGTAGGAACCTACAAGCAGCAATTGGCGCCTATTATGACTTTGAGAGCCCAAACATCAGTGTGCCCTCAATGTCCTTTGTTGAAGATGTCACCATAGGAGAAGGGGAGTCGATACCTCCTGATACTCAGTTTATAAAAACATGGCGGATCCAGAATTCTGGTAAATATATAATGGGCAGTTTCCCTTGTCCAGTTTTCTTTTTCTTAGTAGTTAAAAGAAATAAATGTTTACGTTTAAGTTATGTGGTTGTGTAACTCTGAGATTTTTCTTATACATGGTGTAGCATTTCTTGTACTGGTATGATGACCAGACATCGATGAAATATCCCTGCCCGACACCAGGAGGAAGAATTTAGGCCTCGATGGCATCTGAACATGATCCGGTATTCCTTTGGTACAGGAACTCCGTCTGTGTGTGGTGGTGGTGGTATTGTCTCCACCAGTGCAGTTCTGCTCTATCATTTTAATTCTGCTCTAATTAATCTTATGGTTATTTCCAGCAGGCTAGAGGTGGTACAGCCGTGAACAGAACAGGGTAGTTAGAAAGAGCTGTGAGCATCTGCTCTGTAGAAAGCTCATTTCTTTATAACTACAGGATTATTCTATCTGCAATTTCATTGCGGTATCTCTCTAAGACATTAATATCACTTTGAAAAATAGACTAAACAGTGTGGGGATTTGCTCAGAATGTGATAGATGGAAAGATTGAGAAATTGTTTTTTTTTTAAAGCATTGTTTTGATATACTGCTGACTTTAAGAAAATTTTAAAATAAGTTAACCATAGTTCTTTGAAAATAGTATCTGAATATGTGTCTGGTAACTGTTAATTATTACCTTTTAATTGTTAAATTATTTTCTAATGACTTTAAATTTGAGTGGGTTTATTATTCCTTGGCTCATCCAATAACAATTTATGCTGACTGGGTGAGGATGTTTTAACATCCTTGTTATTAATGAGGACTTACAGAGAAATCCTGAGAGATGGAAAAAGGATATTTAGCTAAAAATTTGTGGCTGTGGGGGAACCCTATCTAGCAAGGTAATCTGATGTGAGGTGATATAAAACCCTGGGGGCTCAAATAAACCTATAAAAGTGACCTGTTATTGACTGTTTACTTTTCAGTTCTACATACTTCTTTTATGATGGGGAAAGACTGGCTAAGCCAGACTTTTATATAATAACTAATGTATCAAATTGGTATTCTTAGTTTTTTTTGGCTTATTTCAAAGAAACTCGCCCTTGGATAAAGGTTCGGTGTGTCACTGAGCAAGAACTCACGTAATCTGGATTGACCTAGTGTTGTAGACGAGTGGATACATCTGTGTCTTTGTCAAGTTTTCATTAGCTTCTTTCCCCTTTTAGTTATAACAGTGTGGTGATTGGTAGTTTGAGAGGCAGGTGGTAATATGGGAAAGCAGCCATATTTGTTTTTCTTGAAATTCTTACTTGTTTAAAGTTGGATTATGTTTACTTTGCCTAATTTCTTTCTTATCTTTCTTAATGTTGCTTGCTTTAAAAAATAAGAAAGCAGTCTCTTTAGTTCAGCTTCTACTCATCATGTTTCTCCTCTGTATTACTAAAACGTGCTGTTACTGATAAAAAAATGCTTTCAAAATTTATACATGAATTTTTTTAAAGGAGTGGTTTGTTTAGAAAGTATAAGATATTCAAAAGTTTTATTTTTTAAAAAAAGTTAATCTAAGACCTTGTTTACTTATAGTAAAAACACTGAAAATGGTCTGGCTTTGCATGAGTCCTTTGTAGTGTTTTTAAATATTGAAGGTTGTTAGAGTAATGTTGAAATATTTTAAATACTGTCTTTTTATAGAATAACCATTTTATGTTTCAGAAAACCTCTTGATATATCTACTCACTCACTAGACAGTTACTTGGGTTAATGGGGGGCTGGAAGGCTGGATAGAAAATGGCTAGAACGTAAAATCAGAACCTCCAGGAGCCTGTCTTTCACTTGGACTTGGAGAAAATATGTGTTGGTGGGCCTGGTCACTCTCTCCTCCTGGTTTTGCATAGTGACTCCAGTTTAAATCAGCCTCTGGGTCTGCAGCCTTTCTTCCTGTAAAAGGGCATTCTTGTTCCTAAACACCTCTTGAAAAGTTGGGCAACAGTTGCTAAAGATTTTACCTTTCGAGATTCTTTGAGCAAATAGTTTTTTGGTTTTTTTCCTGGAATTTGTTCAGTCAGTCATAAGATAATTTGGTATCTATAAAATCTAAATGATTAAGGAGAAACCTGCCTGCTATAACCAAGTAGCAGGTGTGTCACTGAGGAGAGAGGGAGAGCATGCACATCCTGATCCTTGGCGACATCCTGATCTGGCCTGAGTTCTTTCTGGAAATAGCGTAGTAGCTCAGAAGTGGGGCAGCCTCTGCCATTTCTCCCCTGGCTCTCTTAACTCTTATTTATAACCTTCCCTAAGAGAGAAGTGCTCACGGGGAGAGTTTCATAGCTAATTGTCCTGGTACCTCTGTGTTGTCATTTTTTAGGCATGCCAGGCATTCAAATATACAGCAGATTAGACTGATAGGAACTGCACATAGCTGTCGCAACAGCTTCCCCAAAGAAGATAAATGGCACACAATGTTTGAAATTAAAGTCCCAATACTGTTTAAATCCCTAGATTTAGACCACAGGAAAACAAAAGTGAGACATTTAGTGACACAGCTGCAGAATCCCAGGATCCAAACTTTTGTCACTATTTAAGTGTTAGAAGCTTGGGAAACTTGAGCAAGAAACCGTACACTGGAGTTCAAAGTGAAAATTTGAAACTCTCCCTCTAAAGATGAAAGTAGAAAATCTTTTCACTAACACTTAACAGCTTCTCAAGTTGCTGCAGCCATGCTCTGTTGTCCACATATAGCGAATGTATAACTGAGCATGGAATGATAACTCGTCATTCAAAGTCAGTGTTTCTCTGACTTTGGTGAAGTAGTTGTGATCATCATATGAGAGAGGGGCTTTTTTTAACTACATAGAAATGGATATAAAACAAGAGTTGGAAGAAGAACTTGAGAAAGAACAACTATTCCTCCATTTTTCTTTTGGCTCCTTAAAATAGTTAATTTTGTACCTTTCCCTTTAGTATGATTATAGAGAAGATACTTCTTCATTCATTCAACAGATTGTATTATGTTCTAGTCACTTTATCAAGTACAGGTGGAAAATGGCGACAAAAATCAATGAAAGTCCCTGTTTTATGTAGCTTAATTTGAAATGCAGTCTCCAAACTTACAGGGTCAAAAACCTTTTCGCTGAAGTTTTTCTCCTGCATTGCTCTTTGGATGTTCCTTACTGTCTCCAAACTATTTTTATAATCACATACCTGTATTAGAGGTGGACTTTCCAAAACTAATGGAATTTTATTTCACTTTTGCCATTCTCTCTGTCATCTCAGAATTGCCATATGACAGGGTTTTTTATTATTTTTACTTTTTTTTTTAAAATAAAATTACATTCCATAACTAGAAAAGTACAACCTTAATCATATACATGCTTGTGACATTTAACTTGGAATGTCATAAAACACAGATTAATCTTTCTTTTCTTCTAGATACATTTATCTCCCATTAAGCCAGTTTGTACCTGAGACTTAATTTGAAGCCTGTCAGATCTTGGTTTCAGGTGTCCTTAGCCGAGTGGTCCAAACAGCTCACCAGTATTTCTCTTCCTTCTTTATAAAGAATCAGTATCTTTGACTTTTTCAGAGTAACGTGACCTAACATTTGGGGCTGTAAGAACTTATGTCATAGTGAATTATTGAAACTCTCAGAAGGCAGATGATGGTTCTTTATTTCATAGCAAATTAATACTGTAGAGTTGATGGTGGATAGCTTTTCCAGTGTGTTTTTTCAAGAGGCTCTCTAAGTACCCCATTAACTGGGTATCTAGTGTACTAAAAAGATCAGGACTGCATCATTGAATATTAATCATTAACGTGTTACCAGCTAACTCATTCTCCTCAGAATATAGCAGCACTCCTGCTGTGCATGGTTGGGTGACCGACCATCCCAGCTGCTTGCGGTGATTTGCTCAGGACAGCCAAGCATTTCACACACCCAGACAGTCTTAGTTTTCCTTATTTAGAGGTTCAAAACCAGCCACATTCTTGGGTTTTCATATAAACAGACATTGTCTTATTACAGATGTGTGTGTATATGTTTTATAGACTAAATTGTGAATTCAGCCCTACAACAGTAGTTTAATTTTTCTTTAAAGATACTGACATTTTCCAAGATGCTTCATGTCAGCCGCTAGTACTCTTGACATAAGACAGATATGCTTTTCCTAGGCCATATGCCTCAGAAATGAGAAGCAATTTGCATGTATTGCCAATGTGTCATCCACAATTTTTCCACCAGCAGTGGTTGCTCTCTGTAGTGTTAACTTAGGAGGACACTTTGCTGGCAGGGTTTTTTGGTTTGTTTTTTTTAAGAAGGTATGGCAAAACACAGTGGCCGCTGCTTCCTTTGCTGCCCCTTAAGTTCCAAGAGCCACAGAGGGTGCTGTTCATTATGGGGCTGAGATCTCAGCAGTAGTGCTCTGGTTGTTTTTCTCTCTGGTTTTCTTTTCAAGAGTAAGCCATCATGTTTATCATAACCAGCCTGGCACTTCCAGAACAAGACCCTGAGGCATCCTAGAGTACTGTTAGGAGGTCACTTTCAAGCATACCGTGTCCTGAGAGTCCTGTCATGCCCAGTTATTTATTTTTATAATGAATGTATATGTCCCCCAAGAAGATACGTAGAGGTTTCTGTCTATAGTAAAAAGTGTGTTAGAGAGACTTCATAGGGAAGATCACGTCTAATTACTGTGTGGCTACCTATGACCCGTCAGAGCAAGTCAGTATATAGATTTTTCATTTTGCATTAGTTTACATGAAAATAGGTCCACAGCAGCAGCTACCAAATAAGATCCATTGCCTCTTCCAAAGGAAGAAGAACATTCCTGCCAAAGCCATTTCTCTGTATTGATGATCCTGTCCTTTTTACAAGCACTTCTGGCTGGTGTCATCACCTCTGAGATCAGGGGAGTTCGGCACACTGTTCATATTTTCCCACTACTGTTTGAACCTGAAAATGAAACTTGCACTTGAAGTCATATATCAGGGAAAAAGCAGTTTTAAAATGAAAACAGTATCATAGAAATTACTCCTTATGTATTTCATCCTCCTGCCTGGATGGAAAAATCGAGGACAGTCAGACATATTTTCACTTTGAATGTTAGCTTAAAAAGAGAGAGTGAAATGGGTGCGTTACCTTTTAGTAGAGAGAGCAGTCCTCCAAAGATGTGGCCTGTGCCGGTTTTCATGGCTCTTCACCGACATCACCCTGAGGTTGTGCAGGTTGAGTGTGCTGTGTGCCTTCCCTGGGGTCCCTTGAAACACTGTGTCTGGAGGAGCTGCCTTGCTTTTGCCGTATGTGCCTTGTCTTAGGGACAGACTTGGTCAGAGGCTGTGTACCCCGATAATCCTCTCTGATCAGTCATGTGTGATGTTACATAGCTGAGGGATATGTGGCTAGGGTTACAGGTGAGAGACACAAAAGAGGCCTCTTCTATGGTTTTGTAATGAACTTCACCCAGCTTGGGACCTCTGATTGCCTAACACTTTTTTCTTTTGCTTGAACTCAGGGGCAGAGGCCTGGCCTCCAGGGGTTTGTCTTAAATATGTCGGGGGAGACCAATTTGGACATGTGAACATGGTGATGGTGAGATCGCTAGAGCCCCAAGAGATTGCAGATGTCAGCGTCCAGATGTGCAGCCCCAGCAGAGCAGGCATGTACCAGGGACAGTGGCGGATGTGCACAGCGACGGGACTCTACTACGGAGGTGAGTGTGTCCTCCTGCAGCCCAGGGCGAGGGAATGAGGTGACATCTCAGGGCACCCAAGGCTCAACCTGTCAGATCACACAACAGGGCATGGCTTCTTCCAGCCACTCCATGCAGGCAGGTGACCTGATTTAATGACGGTCTCGTTGGTTCAGCCTACTGCTTTCCCTTTTACACTAGGATTTTAGTTACAGTTTAGTGATATGTATGAGATATATCTTGCATTCCAAACAATGCGTTAGTAATGTTGCTGTTTTTATTATACAGTCTAGTAGGTGCTGTAAAAATACTGCAGGCTCTTCGTTCACAGAGTTCAGTTGGTTAGAGTGTGGTGCTGATAACACCAAGGTTGCTGGTTCGATCTCCGCATGGGCCACTGTGAGCTGCGCTATCCTTAAAAGACTCAACTATGCCATTGTAGCATGAAAGCGATGTGTAACCAATGACCATGGCTGTTCCCCAATAAAATTAAAGAAAGAAAAAAAAAAGATAATGCACAATGTGCACACGTCTCTCAATCAGATCACTTGTCAAGCTACTAGTGCCTCTCACACCTTCTCTAATGCCAAACTTTCTGAACAAAGTGATCTAGACTCACCATGTTCTCTTCCTGTTTTCCATTTATTCTTCAGCCCAATCTGCTTTTTACCCACTCCAGGGAAATGTCTATCAGTGACTGTCCAGCTTCCAAATCCAGCAGTCTTCATACTAACTGACCCTCTCTCACTGGGCACCATTCTACAAGTGTGTTTTGAAGTGTATACCTTCCTAAACTCATATACCGCTCTCATTTCTCCTCCTCCCCTAAGGTGCTTTCCCTGTCTCTGCCTACTCTCACCTCTGCCTTGGGATGACTAGATTCTGAGCTGGGCTCCGTTCTTGCTCTGTGACCTCACCCACCCACATGGCTTCAGCTGTTACCAGTACAGCATACATGGCAATGGTCAGATTCATATCTGTGACTACAAGCTCTCCAGAGCACCAAACCTGTGTTTTGACTGTGTATGGACAGAACACCTAGATCCTGAATTTTAACATCGCCCAGGCAAAACTCCCATTCTTCTCATTAGCACCCTAGTGAGATGATCAGGCCAGAAGTCATCATCTTCTGTTCTGTCTTTAATCACAGATCAATCCCTGTTGGTTTCACTGTATCCCATGTCCTGGAAATCCAAAGAAAAATACGTAGTAAATAGTTCTTGCCCTCAGGGAGCTCTTAACTGGGCTCGTGGCCAGTGGGACCTTTGGAGTTACTTGAAGGGGCCCTGAAATTAATGTTCTCATATGTTTTTGCAGACAGTGGAAACTTTAGATATTTTTACAGCCTTGAAAATTTTCCATGTTAGAAAATGTGTCTCATAGTGACTCCATTCTTTGCCCAAAACCCTTGTGCATACTATAATGAAAATAAACTCCTTGGCGTGGGGCTTCAAGCTCCTCATGAACCAGCCTGGCCTCGTTTTCACCCTCTTCAGTCATCTCTGTGCTCCCCTGCAGCCATCCCTTAAGACGCCACTTGCTTTCAAGTCTCCGTGCCCTTACTCGTCTTGTTCCCATTACCTGAAATATCTTTCCCCTTCTTTCCAGTACATCCTGCTCATCCTCAGGACCCTGAGGTCACCTTTTCCTCTTCCCTCCTTTCCCTGTGCTAGCTCCTCCCACCTACTCCAGGGAAATCCATCCTTCCCTTTTTCATTAAATTATGCACATGCTTGTTATTATACTTAACACATTGTACTTAGGTGTTTGTTTACTCATCTTTTTCTCCTATCTGACTGTAAACTATTCGTTGAATAACAAATGAACATGTAATCAGGTATCAGAATGCAGAGAGATTATTTGTCTCTTCCCTTCTGGACTCTGTTTACAGGCCACCTCTTCTAAGCATCTTCTTACCCACATGGTTGAAAGTAGTTTCTCCCAGTGCTGAGCTGCCATTGCATTATCTCTTTGCCTCTCTGGCACTTTACCTCTTACTATACAGTTAATCTGATGAACGTCTCATGTCACCTTTAAAACTTAAGGTGTAATACATGTCTCATTTATCTTTGTAACGCTTCAAAAAGCTGAGCCCAGTGCAAAGTGGAGAGTGGCTACTCAGTAGATTTTTAAAATGAATGTCAGCATTTTTAAGGGAAGCGGAAGAAAACATAAGTGACTTTTTAAAAAATCCCTTTGATGCAAAGATAACTGCTTCTTAGTGTTGTCTAGTGTTTGAGAGCTCAAGTCTTGTTTTTTGTGTATTTTTAGTGTTAAGTTAAAATATTATCATTAAACAGGACATTAAATTTGTACTTATAACATCCCTCTCAAATTCTAGAAGTAGGTAGAGTGTAAATATACTAGCTTTGGAGGCAGTAAAGTATTTAAAGCCTTTCTTGGTCATGTAGTCTGTGAGTTTCTAGGACTTTGTGAAATCTAAAACCTTTAAGGGATTTTATAATTTATCTGATTCCATGATTTCAGGCTTTTTTCTTAATCAATGGAACCCTTTCCTTGATAAAAGCATATATGAATACCCCTCCAAAAAAGGAGAAAAGATAAAAATGAAACTGGTTTGTTAAATTGAAAGCCTTCTTGACATGAGTTTCTCTGCTCCCTGGCTGAGATGACCTCCAGGGCTCTGTGGAGTATAGTTTGCAGACTCTTTATCTGCTCTATTAGAGAATTTAATTTCATTTTACAAACCTACCATATTTCATTGAGTCCAGATTATTGTTGATTATAAACTACATCCTGATAGCAGACATGTGAAATGACTGGCAGAAGGTGCATATAACATACATAAAACCACAACTATGAACACATGAAGAAAAGTAAGCTGCCATGTTAACCATGATTGGCTCTTCCCAGTTTTTCTTGCTCACTCTTAGCTTGTTAGCTCAGTGGATGTAGTGCGGTGGGAAGAATTTGGAAGGCAGGACTAGGTTGACTGGGCATAACCTTGGACAAGTTAGGAAACTTCTCTGCACCTCATCTCTGTCTTAACAGCAAAGCTTGTTTTTTTTTGTTTTTGTTTTTGTTTTTTTGTTTTATTTTTGGTGGGGTGGTCTTTTCTGTAGTCTTTAGATGGTCTTCTATAGAAAGAATCCATTCTTATTTTTATAGTAACACTTATGTTTCAGTTCATTTCTCTTCCTCACAAGGCGTTTTTGCTATATTTAATAATTTACAAAGTGGGTTCCCTTTCCCCATTTTAGATTGGTTGTGCTCGCAGTCTCTCACCAGGTATGCTGTTGGCATGTTGTGGGGATAGTTTTTCATGATGTGGGACATATTTATAAGACCCTTGGCCCTCTCTCACTAAATACCTGTAACTTCCCATGTTCACCTTTGCAGACAACCCTCTTCCCCCACCACACTCATATCTAACTCCCTCGGTTGAGTAGCACTAAGTGTCTGATTCTTAACAGATGTATTTTCAAGTGTAAACATTTTATCTTCTTTTTATGAACTTTTGCTTCTTAGATGAAAGCAATCTGTTATCTAGTACCTACTGTATGTCAGGCATTGTGTTGGGCTTTTTGCATATTAATTACTACCTTATGAAGGAAATATTAGGTACATTTTATGAATGAGGAAACTGAAGACCCAAGATAATGAATGATTTGTCTAAGGTTCAGTAAAAGTTATAAATTATACATAATTTATAGTTACAGATCAACAAAAGTAGTTTTAAGATTTTTGTCATTAATTTGGCCCTCACTGCTCTGTTGGGTTCACGAGGAAACTTTGGCTCCAGGGTGTTGATACTTGTGAGGATTTAGGGAGGGAGTCCTCTCTTCATTTCCAGAGTGAGTGGGAATGAGGGTGGGGCGACTCTCAGGTAGTTGGGAAAATAAATACCAGTGTTCCCCTAGGAACTCATGCCTGCCAGGAGATACACATTTCCTAGCGGATACTGGACTCTTGGGAAGGAGGAAGAGCATGAGTGGTTGTCCCCATGTTAGCCTTGGTACCAACAGAAACATAACTCCCTTCTTCCCAGTACAGTGCCTTCTTCCAAAATTCTACAGGTGAGGTTTAACCTCCGCACCGTGATGGTTCCTTGTAAATGAGAGGGGTCCTAGTTGTGAGGTAAGCTAAGGTCAAGTGGTACTCTGGTTATTGCGTGTTGATGAGTGTTGCTCCCACTTGAAGTAGCTCTTCTGTTAAATACTTCACATGGTTCCCTAGGGACATTTCACATCTAGATGAAATACTTCTACATTATTCGTTTAGTTGCTTAGAGGTTAGAAATGGAACTTTCCTTATTAAGCTCCCAAACCGTAACATGTCCCACACATTAGGAAAGTTATTGGATGCTCTGTAAACCACACTGTTTGTTTCCTAAAACCTTTGTAAGTTCTTCTAGCTTCTCCAGTTTAGAGTGTCCTCCCTACCCAATAATGCAGGACTGCTCCCCCTCATTCTTCTCCAGTATTTTAACTGTTCATGTTATAAAAGAAACTGGTTTTATAGAGACTGCCTCTAGACTCCACACAGGTGTCTTCCATTCCAGTGAGATGCTGTTCTGCTTGGCATTTTTGCCAGTCCTCTTGCCCTTTTACCCATTGACCCCACCTTTAGAACGTCTCTCTTTTATGTGGGACTGAAAAAGGCTGTCTCATTTGCTTCTAGAAGATACTCAGATACTCCCTGTTTGAATTCTGATCTCTGGAATTCTCCATTATCAGAAATATGAGTAGTCTTTGAAAACAACAAATTTCTTATTTGATAAAAGAAATGCTAGCCTAAGCTGATTGTGACTTACATGGGAGATGTTTTTAGAAGAAACAGTTCAAATGTAAATGAAATCCTTAAGTATCTTTATGTTTTAAGGTCTATATTAAGTTATAAGGTGATGGGCTATTTCCGCTTCCTTCCTGCCATTGGTTGTACTGCCACCAGGGAGTGGTGATTGTTTGGTGGTCGTGTCCAGGTCATTCCGCCTGAGTCAGAGGCAATGTGCACTGGCTGTACTGTTGAGATTAATAAAATGCAGATATGTGGGTCCTGAA